ATCAGCAAGCACTGGAGCCAGAAAGTGACATAAGCTTTTTCAAGTGCTGAAATAAACTGTCAACCCGAAGGTGTGTATCTGCTGAAATTACCCTTCAGCAACAAAGGGAAAATGAGACATCTTCTGATGCAGGAAAAATAAAGAAAATTTGCTTCCAGCAGATCTAACTTAAATAGAATAGTTCAGAAATTGTTAGAACAGAAATAATAAAATACGGAATTCTGGGACATCTGGAAATAAGGACAGAAATAGCAAAACTACATGTCAGCACAACAGGCTTTCCTTTTCTTTTTATAAATTATGTTTAAAAGATAAAGCAAAAATTATAATATTGTCTGACATTTGGTTCTAACTGTAAGGAAAATATTTATGTACTTTTATGTATGTAAAATATGTATATGATTTTACGAGAAATTACATTACCTATAGAGAAAATTAAAGGATGTAAAAAGGTAAGGATTCTACTCTGTGCTCAAACAGATGAAATATTGACCACTATATTGTGATGAGTTATGTATGTATAATACCTAGACATATCATTAAATAATACCTATGCAAAGAAATATACTGAAAACCACCACAGACAAATCAAAATGGAATTTAAAAAAAATGTTCAAGCAATCCACAAGAAGGCAGGGGAAAAAAGAAATAAAAAACACAGAAAACAAAAAGTAAAATGGCAGGCATAAGCCTTAACTTAATCATTACACTAAACGTAAATGTTCTACATACATCAATCATAAGACAGAGATTAGCAAAGTGAATAAAAAATATAAACCAACCATATGCCATCTATGAGAAATTCACTTCAAATATAAGTAGATTAAAAGTGAAAGGATGGAAAATTATATGCCAGGCAAACAATCAAAAGAAAGCAGGAGTGATTAGAATAAAGTCAGAAAAAGTAAACTTCAGAGCAAAAAATTTACTAGACAGACAAGGAAATAATGATAAAAGTGTCAGTCCATCAAGAACACAAAGCAATCCCAAACATGTACACATCAAAAAACAGACCCAAAAAACATGTGATGCAAAAATTGACAAAAGGAGAAGTAGACAAATCCACAATTACAATTAGATGTTTCAACAACCCACTCTCAACAACTGATAGAACCACTAGATAATAAACCAGCAAGATGGAACTCAGCACCATTAGCTAACAGGATCTGATCAACATTTCAGATTCAACAACAGCACAATACACTTTCTTTTCAGGGGCCTTGGAATTCTTACCTATATAGACAACACCCTCAGTCACAAAACAAACTGCATGAAATTAAAACAAGTGAAATCACATAAAAGATGTTACGTGACCAAAGGAATCCCGCTAGAAAAGATATATAAATAGGACCCACATTTTCCTACCATATTTGACAGAATGTCCAGAATACAATCAAAAACCATCGGTCATACCAAGAAAGAGAAAATTCACAATGTGAATCAGAAAAGACAATCAACTGACACCACAATTAAAATTAATTCAGATACTGGAATTGTGTTACAAATATTTTAAGCAGAAAACAAAAATGCTTCACCAATCAATTACAAATTCTCTTGCAACAAATAGAAGTTATAAAACTGAAAACTACGATAGTAAAAATAAAACATCACTGGGTGGAATCACAGTAGAGTGAAGACGACAGAGGACAGAATTGAGGAACTTAAGAACAAGTCAACAGAATTTACACAATCTGAACAACACAAAAAAATGAGACCAAAAAAAAAAAAGTCTAAGGGAATTATGAGACACTAACGAAGATGCAACTTTTGTCCTGGAAGGAGAGGAGAGAGTAGAAAGGAAAGAATGCTTGGAGAAATAACAGCTAAAAACTCCCTAAATTGGGTTAAACCAAAACCAACAGATTCAAGAAGCTTAAAGAACACCAAACAACACAAACCTGAAGAAATCCCCACCAAAATAAATCATAATTTAATCTGAAAACTAAAGACAAAGACAAAACTTGAAAGCAGCCAGAGAGAGATGACATGTTACCTATAGAACACCAATCCAATGACAGCGGACTTCTAATCAAAAACCAAGAAGGCTGGAAGAAAGTGAAAAAAGTGTTTTCAAGAGCTAAGAAAAGAACTGTCAATCAGGAATTCGACATTCAATAAAACTATCCTTCTGGAATGAGACGGAATAAAGACATTCTAAGATAAAAGAAACGAAAAAAGAGAATCCCAGAACAATAGAAAGGAAGGAAGAATAACAGCAAAAACGTGGGTACATACAAGAGACCATCCTTATCATCATGCGTTTTACAAATTACGTTCAACGATTTAACCAAAGTATAACACCATCTGATGCTCAGAAATGATTTTAAAGAGTGAGGGAAGAAGGTGAGTAAACGCAATGAAATGAAGTGAGGGTTCCACCCTTCAATCCACCTGATAAAACACCGATACCAACACACCATGGTAAGTCACGTGCATACTGCAACACCCAGAGCGAATACTACAAAAACTACACAAAGACTCTAAACTCAAAAATACTAGCGATATCAAAAAAAGTTCAAGTAACCCAAAGGAAGGCAAAATGAGAACCAGAGGAACGAGAATTAAAAAAATAATAAAAACCCAGAAAACATAATAAAACGGTGCACTTAAGCCCTAAGGTATCAATAATTACCTTAAATGTAAGTGGCTTAAACAGCGCAATCAAAACAGAGATGAGGGAGTTCATGATGGAAAACGCTACTCCATAAAATAATCACTTCATTCAACAACAGAATCCAACGACATAGACTGAAGGCGCACACAAGCAGCAGGAGTGGCTATGTTCCTATCTAACAGCCCTCAAGCCAAGAAAATTACCAGAAACAAGGAGGAACTTCAGAGCATCCTCAATGTGTGCCCACCAGACAGAGCCTTAAATAAATGCAGAAAGTGACAGATGCAAACTGCTGACGAAACCTACAGTGCAACAGGTAGCACATCTCCAGACCATGGTCCCCTAAAACCAGCCCCTTGGTCACCGCTAGTGCAAGTCCTCGTCCAGGCAGCAACAGGCCGGCAGGAGAAACCGAACTTCTGCGGAACCCATCTCGTCGAACACTAAACACGGACGGGCTTCTGGAACCCTCGACGACCCCGGAAGAAATAGTATTAGCCCCTATTAACAGCCGAAGAAATTAGGGCTCGGTTTCAACAAGCCACCCAAGACCAAAAGGCTCGTGAGCGGACCTGGACTCGCGCGGGGTTCACGCCTGTCAACCGCCACAGACCCGAACCTCCTAACGCCCCGGTCCCGAAGCCATTGCACGGAAAACCCGCCTTTCCCCACTGTGCATTTTCATTGCTCCCACGATTCCTCGGGAAGAAAACTTCGAAAACTACAAAAGGCACTACTTCCCCTTTTTATAAGTTTCTGTTTCTAATTACTCTACCATTTACAAAATGGAGTCTTCTTCTCTTTGGGTGAGAAAGAAGTTAAATGCTTAAGCCAACTAGGAAATGAGGCTTCCGTTTTAAATCAAAGGTCTGCACATTTTCATTCTCCCACTAAACTGTGGTCCCGGGAAACAATTTAACCTGCCCGAGTCTCCGTTTCCAATTCCTAAAAGCAAAACTTCTCAAAAAAATACTTTGTAAATGCATGTTTAAAAGGTGTCTTCACTTGCTCTTTGCACTTATGAAACTCAGTGATTTTCCAGAAGGTCCGCATTCTCAGCTGCGAGCGGGCCGCACCCGCCCGGCCCACCGCGCACGCAGGACAGCACGTTTCGGACACTAGTCATCTTGGCTGGACGTCTCGCGCGCCGCTCGTGCGAGCTGCACCCCTGAACCGGGTATAGTCTCCTCTTCCAGTGAGCACGACGGGCAGAGCCGGCGGCGCCTCCCCGTGTGGCCCTGACCCTGCGCCCCGAAGCCTTTCCCAGAGGGCTCACGCTCTGCCGGCCCACCGCCGGGCTGTGGGGGCGGACCGTACCTGGGCAGATCCCGCCTGGGCGGACCCCACCTGGGTGGACCCTAACCTCAACCGACACCCATCTGGGCGGACCCGACCTGAGCGGGCCCCACCTGGGCCGACCCCCCACTAGGCGGATCCCACCTGGGCGGACCCCACCTGGGCAAACCCCCCCACTAGGCGGATCCCACCTGGGCGGACCCCACCTGGGCAGAACCCCCACTAGGCGGAT